GTCAATAGCTAAACACCTCCAAACTTGGTGTGGCCTTCAGATGAGCCCAACAACAGTGCGTAGAGAGCTCCATGGAATGGGTTTCCATGGCCGAGCAGCTGCATCCAAGCCTTCCATCACCAAGTGCAATGCAAAGCGTCGGATGCCGTGGTGTAAAGCACGCCGCCACTGGGCTCTAGAGCAGTGGAGGCGTGTTCTCTGGAGTGACCAATCACACTTCTCTGTCTGGCAATCCGATGGACGTGTCTGGGTTTGGTGGTGGCCAGGAGAACGGTACTTGCCTGACTGCATTGTGCCAAGTGTAAAGATTGGTGGAGGGGGGGTTATGGTGTGGAGTTGTTCCTCAGGGGTTGGGCTTGGCCCCCTAGTTCCAGTGAAGGGATGACATTTTGGACAATTTCATGCCCCAAACTTTGTGGGAGGAGTTTGGGGATGGCCCCTTCCTGTTCCAACATGACTGCCCACCAGTGCACAAAGCAAGGTCCATAAAGACATGGAGGAGCCAGTTTGGGGTGGAGGAACTTGACTGGCCTGCACAGAGTCCTGACCTCAACCCCATAGAACACCTTTGGGATGAATTAGAGCGGAGACTGCAAGCCAGGCCCCCTCCCCCGACATCAGTGCCTGACCTGACAAATTCTGGAAGAATGGCCAGCACAGACATAGGACTAGCATTGCTTGTGGTCTCCCTACAACCGATCCTTTCCCTGTTACTGACCTACAATGCCTCGTTCTGTGTGGAGAAGTACTGTCTCGAGTACAGAAGCAGGGGGATCCTTGCACTGCGGGTCCTCAGGTACAGCTTCCTCTCCAGTAAGGAGTGCAGAGAGCAGTATAGTAGTAGGACTTCGCTTCCAGGATTGCTTGTGGTCTCCCTAGAACCTTGATCCTTGGTGGCCATCTTGGTGGAGGATCAGTGTTTCGCTTCCTCATATCAGAGCCGATGACTTGTGGGGCAATGATAGAGGTGGAGGATGCAAAGAGCCACAGAATGAATGAAGCAGAAGCAAGGAGATCTTTGCACTGCAGGTACTGCTTTCCCTCCAGCAAAGTAGTGACATTAACAAATCTTACTGGTGGGGTAATGGTATGGGGGGAGAAAGCACAGATCCACAGAACGAGTGCAGAAGCAGGGGGATCCTTGCACTGCGGGTCCTCAGGTGCAGCTTCCTCTCCAGTAAGGAGTGCAGAGAGCCGTATAGTAGCTGGACTTCGCTTCCAGAATTGCGAGGTTGAATGTCTTTGTGGCCCAGCTGCAGTCTTCAACCATCCAATAGAATGACTAATGAGTCCTCTAATCAGATCGATCCATTTAATTACGGGCAAATCGAAGTTCTGCAGGTACCACGGCTGAGAGGACTTACATTACCTACATTTAATGAGCACTAAACCTGTAAATTCCGAGAAGGTCAATAAAGGAATACACTGGAGACAACGACTGAAAAGAGTCAGTCTGCACACCTACTGAAAGTCGAATTTAAGCTGAAATTATTTTAATTTTTTTACTTCGATGGAGGAAGGTGTCGAGCTATTCTTTAGAAGGTTTCCCTTTTCTTCCTGTTGGGAAACGCCTCCTCCTCCTTCTACAAAGTTACAATGTACAGTCTGATCACTGGGGGAGGAGACTGAGGAAATGACTCCTCCTCCTTCTACAAAGTTACAATGTACAGTCTGATAACCAGGAGAGGGGACTGAGGAAATGACTCCTCCTCCTTCTACAAAGTTACAATGTACAGTCTGATCACTGGGGGAGGAGACTGAGGAAATGACTCCTCCTCCTTCTACAAAGTTACAATGTACAGTCTGATCACTGGGGGAGGAGACTGAGGAAATGACTCCTCCCTCTTCTACAAAGTTACAATGTACAGTCTGATCACTGGGGGAGGAGATTGAGGAAATGACTCCTCCTCCTTCTACAAAGTTACAATGTACAGTCTGATCACTGGGGGAGGAGACTGAGGAAATGACTCCTCCTCCTTCTACAAAGTTACAATGTACAGTCTGATAACCGGGGAGGGGACTGAGGAAATGACTCCTCCTCCTTCTACAAAGTTACAATGTACAGTCTGATCACTGGGGGAGGAGACTGAGGAAATGACTCCTCCTCCTTCTACAAAGTTACAGTGTACAGTCTGATCACAGGGGGAGGGGAGACTGAGGAAATGACTCCTCCTCCTTCTACAAAGTTACAATGTACAGTCTGATCACTGGGGGAGGAGACTGAGGAAATGACTCCTCCTCCTCCTACAAAGTTACAATGTACAGTCTGATCACTGGGGGAGGGGAGACTGAGGAAATGACTCCTCCCCCTTCTACAAAGTTACAATGTACAGTCTGATCACTGAGGGAGGAGACTGAGGAAATGACTCCTCCCCCTCCTACAAAGTTACAATGTACAGTCTGATCACTGGGGGAGGGGAGACTGAGGAAATGACTCCTCCTCCTTCCACAAAGTTACAATGTACAGTCTGATCACTGGGGGAGGAGACTGAGGAAATGACTCCTCCTCCTTCTACAAAGTTACAATGTACAGTCTGATCACTGGGGGAGGAGACTGAGGAAATGACTCCTCCTCCTTCTACAAAGTTACAATGTACAGTCTGATCACTGGGGGAGGGGAGACTGAGAAAACGACTCCTCCTCCTTCTACAAAGTTACAATGTACAGTCTGATCACTGGGGGAGGGGAGACTGAGGAAATGACTCCTCCTCCTTCTACAAAGTTACAATGTACAGTCTGATCACTGGGGGAGGGGAGACTGAGAAAACGACTCCTCCTCCTTCTACAAAGTTACAATGTACAGTCTGATCACTGGGGGAGGGGAGACTGAGGAAATGACTCCTCCTCCTTCTACAAAGTTACAATGTACAGTCTGATCACTGGGGGAGGGGAGACTGAGAAAACGACTCCTCCTCCTTCTACAAAGTTACAATGTACAGTCTGATCACTGGGGGACAGGACACTATCTCACTCTCTAGGGTGTCTGCTGACAGAATATATATCATGTTTGGTGGGGTTTACGTAATCTTCAGGCCTAAAATGATTTTTTTTAAACGTGTGCAAAAAAAAAAAAAAATACCAGAACGTCTCCCCCAGCGAATGGGCCATGCTGGGATTTGTAGTACCCCAGGCAGGCCGACGTCTGATATCCCGCGCTGAAAATCGAAAGAAGTCGCCATCAATCGGAGGCGAAGGCGTGAAGAGGCGCCTCATCTACAATTCCTCGGTAATTGTAACCCAGACAGCCGGAGTAAAAAAAAAAATGGAAGTGACACGGACTGGTAGGAAAAGGCGTCTTAGCGTGTTATTTACACCTCCGCTGCTCCGGGGGGCTTCCTGGAACCGCGTCACGCCAACATATTCCTCTCCCGGGACGCGGAGTGCGAAGCCGGCGCAGTCACATGTTTTTCCAATGAAGGCTCTCCGGGTCGCGCGGCGAAGTGTCGGGATCTGTACAATGTGCCGCTTTGTTCCCCCGCAGAGTCCACAGATATTACTTGTCATAACACGTGTAATGAGCGTCATGTGATACCACTGATAGCGAGCGCAGGGGGCGGGGTTGGTTTTTTTTTTTTTCTTGCGGCGTGTGTTAATGTTTATTTTGAATGCAAGAGGGACTAATGGAAATGTTCTCTATGTAACCAGAACCGTCCTCACCGGGACAACCCGGCCTCACCTGGATCAGGACGAAGAGTGGAAATCCAGAGGAGGAGGAAGATAAAACGTGGGATGATTAACCCACCGACCACCAATGTGAGGGACATTCTTCCCACCGACCCCCCAATGTAAGGGACATTCTTCCCACTGACCACCAATGTAAGGGACATTCTTCCCACTGACCCCCAATGTAAGGAACATTCTTCTTACTGACCCCCAATGTAAGGGACATTCTTCCCACTGACCACCAATGTAAGGGACATTCTTCCCACCGACCCCCCAATGTAAGGGACATTCTTCCCACTGACCACCAATGTAAGGGACATTCTTCCCACTGACCCCCAATGTGAGGGACATTCTTCCCACCGACCACCAATGTAAGGGACATTCTTCCCACCGACCCCCCAATGTAAGGGACATTCTTCCCACTGACCCCCAATGTAAGGGACATTCTTCCCACTGACCTCCAATGTAAGGGACATTCTTCCCACCGACCCCCCAATGTAAGGGACATTCTTCCCACTGACCTCCAATGTAAGGGACATTCTTCCCACCGACCACCAATGTAAGGGACATTCTTCCCACTGACCCCCAATGTAAGGGACATTCTTCCCACCGACCCCCCAATGTAAGGGACATTCTTCCCACTGACCCCCAATGTAAGGGACATTCTTCCCACTGACCCCCAATGTAAGGGACATTCTTCCCACTGACCACCAATGTGAGGGACATTCTTCCCACTGACCACCAATGTAAGGGACATTCTTCCCACTGACCCCCAATGTAAGGAACATTCTTCCCACTGACCCCCAATGTAAGGGACATTCTTCCCACTGACCCCCAATGTAAGGAACATTCTTCCCACTGACCCCCAATGTAAGGAACATTCTTCCCACTGATCACCAATGTAAGGGACATTCTTCCCACCGACCCCCCAATGTAAGGGACATTCTTCCCACCGACCCCCAATGTAAGGGACATTCTTCCCACTGACCCCCAATGTAAGGGACATTCTTCCCACTGACCCCCAATGTGAGGGACATTCTTCCCACTGATCACCAATGTGAGGGACATTCTTCCCACTGATCACCAATGTAAGGGACATTCTTCCCACTGATCACCAATGTGAGGGACATTCTTCCCACTGACCCCCAATGTAAGGGACATTCTTCCCACTGACCCCCAATGTAAGGGACATTCTTCCCACTGACCCCCAATGTAAGGGACATTCTTCCCACTGATCACCAATGTAAGGGACATTCTTCCCACTGACCACCAATGTAAGGGACATTCTTCCCACTGACCCCCAATGTAAGGGACATTCTTCCCACTGACCCCCAATGTAAGGGACATTCTTCCCACTGACCCCCAATGTAAGGGACATTCTTCCCACTGATCACCAATGTAAGGGACATTCTTCCCACTGATCCCCAATGTAAGGGACATTCTTCCCACTGATCACCAATGTAAGGGACATTCTTCTCACTGACCACCAATGTAAGGGACATTCTTCTCACTGACCACCAATGTAAGGGACATTCTTCCCACTGATCACCAATGTAAGGGACATTCTTCCCACTGACCACCAATGTAAGGGACATTCTTCCCACTGACCACCAATGTAAGGGACATTCTTCCCACTGACCACCAATGTAAGGGACATTCTTCACACTGACCACCAATGTAAGGGACATTCTTCCCACTGACCCCCAATGTAAGGGACATTCTTCCCACTGACCCCCAATGTAAGGGACATTCTTCCCACTGACCCCCAATGTAAGGGACATTCTTCCCACTGACCCCCAATGTAGGGACATTCTTCCCACTGACCACCAATGTAAGGAGCATTCTTCCCACTGACCCCCCCAATGTAAGGGACATTCTTCTCACTGATCACCAATGTAAGGGACATTCTTCCTGTGACCCCCAATGTAAGGGACATTCTTCCCACTGACCACCAATGTAAGGGACATTCTTCCCACTGACCCCCAATGTAAGGGACATTCTTCCCACTGACCCCCAATGTAAGGGACATTCTTCCCACTGACCACCAATGTAAGGGACATTCTTCCCACTGACCCCCAATGTAAGGGACATTCTTCCCACTGACCCCCAATGTAAGGGACATTCTTCCCACTGACCACCAATGTAAGGGACATTCTTCCCACTGACCACCAATGTAAGGGACATTCTTCACACTGACCACCAATGTAAGGGACATTCTTCCCACTGACCTCCAATGTAAGGGACATTCTTCCCACTGACCCCCAATGTAAGGGACATTCTTCCCACTGACCCCCAATGTAAGGGACATTCTTCCCACTGACCCCCAATGTAAGGGACATTCTTCCCACTGACCACCAATGTAAGGGACATTCTTCCCACTGACCACCAATGTAAGGGACATTCTTCTCACTGACCCCCAATGTAAGGGACATTCTTCCCACTGACCACCAATGTAAGGGACATTCTTCCCACTGACCCCCAATGTAAGGGACATTCTTCCCACTGTACCTAGCCAACCTCCCTATAAGATTTAAAGGGAGCCGACCATACAGGGAGCTGACCTCCGTATGGGACATATAGGTGGCCAACCTCCATATAGGACATAAAAGGAGTTGACCTCCATACAGGACATCAAGGGAACCAACCTCCGTATGGGACATCTAGGGAACCAACCTCCATACGGGACATCTAGGGAACCAACCTCCATACAGAACATCTAGGGAACCAACCTCCATACAGAACATCTAGGGAACCAACCTCCATACGGGACATCTAGGGAACTAACCTCCATACGGGACATCTAGGGAACTAACCTCCATACGGGACATCTAGGGAACCAACCTCCATACGGGACATCTAGGGAACCAACCTCCATACGGGACATCTAGGGAACCAACCTCCATATGGGACATCTAGGGAACCAACCTCCGTATGGGACATCTAGGGAACCAACCTCCATACGGGACATCTAGGGAACCAACCTCCATACAGGACATCTAGGGAACCAACCTCCATACGGGACATCTAGGGAACCAACCTCCATACAGGACATCTAGGGAACCAACCTCCATACGGGACATCTAGGAAACCAACCTCCATACGGGACATCTAGGGAACCAACCTCCATACGGGACATCTAGGGAACCAACCTCCATATGGGACATCTAGGGAACCAACCTCCGTATACGGGACATCTAGGGAACCAACCTCCATATGGGACATCTAGGGAACCAACCTCCATACGGGACATCTAGGGAACCAACCTCCATATGGGACATCTAGGGAACCAACCTCCATACGGGACATCTAGGGAACCAACCTCCATACGGGACATCTAGGGAACCAACCTCCATACGGGACATCTAGGGAACCAACCTCCGTATGGGACATCTAGGGAACCAACCTCCATACGGGACATCTAGGGAACCTACCTCCATATGGGACATCTAGGGAACCAACCTCCATACGGGACATCTAGGGAACTAACCTCCATACGGGACATCTAGGGAACCAACCTCCATACGGGACATCTAGGGAACCAACCTCCATATGGGACATCTAGGGAACCAACCTCCATATGGGACATCTAGGGAACCAACCTCCGTATGGGACATCTAGGAACCAACCTCCATACGGGACATCTAGGGAACCAACCTCCACACAGGACATCTAGTCTGGAACCAAAAAAGAAAGAGTGTAAAGCTGGTCAGGTCCCGGCAGAGTCCTCACCATACTGTGGACATAGGGAACTCAGCGATTTTGTGGCCGTTTCCTGTGGGACATCTAATTAACCAGGCATTTCCGTTATTTCTGGGACATGTTCCGGGAACCAACCTCCGTACGGGACATCTAGGGAACCAACCTCCATACGGGACATCTAGGGAACCAACCTCCATATGGGACATCTAGGGAACCAACCTCCATATGGGACATCTAGGGAACCAACCTCCATACGGGACATCTAGGGAACCAACCTCCATATGGGACATCTAGGGAACTAACCTCCATACGGGACATCTAGGGAACCAACCTCCACACGGGACATCTAGGGAACCAACCTCCATACGGGACATCTAGGGAACCAACCTCCATACGGGACATCTAGGGAACCAACCTCCATACAGGACATATAGGGAAGCCACCTCCATACAGGACATATAGGAAGCCAGCCTCCATACAGGACATATATGAAGCCAGCCTCCATACAGGACATATAGTCTGCTGGACCTATAAAAAGAAAGAGTGTAAAGCTGGTCAGGTCCCGGCAGAGTCCTCACGCTGATCCTGTGGAAACGATGGTCCTGGTCTCAGCGATTTTGTGGCCGTTTCGCTGTGGGAAATGTGTAATTATATCCGCAGGCATTTCCTTGTTATTTCTGCAGGATGAATGTTCCGTTCACGCTCCATGTGACCGTGCGTCCGCTGTGATTCCGTGATCTGCCTGGCTTGCTCTGTACCGCTTGGACTGTTGTTAAAGCCGAACTCCCGGCAGATATGGAAGGCACATAGGAACGAATTCTGTATTTTGTATTACATAAGTTTTAAATGCCAGCACTGTAAGTAACCGATTTTGACTTATTATCAGTCTTTTGCGATCCTTGTACAGCAGAGCTCAGACTGAGGTTGGGAGAAGCAGCACAGGGGAGCCACAAAGTTGTATTACAAGGATCGTCCTGATAGGAGGAGAGAGCAAAGTGCCAAATAGATGACCTCATTACAAGCCTGTGCCAACCAAGCAAAGATAATGTATGCTGGTATACAGGGGTGGACTGACAACTCATGGGGCCCCCGGGCAATAGGGGATCATGGGGCCCCCAGGCAATAGGGGATCATGAGGCCCCGGTGTCCTTGCCCAAACTCAAAAAAGCCTATGAAAAAGGTACCAGGGGCATCTCATGGGGCCCCCTACTGACCCCGGGCCCTTGGGCAGTGCCCGAGTTTCCAAATGGTCAGTCCGCCCCTGCTGGTATACTCACCTGTACCTTTCTATTCTACCTTTCTAGTCTTTATAAGGGGGATGGAGGAGCTCAGCTATGAGGAATGATGGAGCTCAGCTATAGAGAATGGAGGAGCTCAGCTATGAGGGATGGAGGAGCTCAGCTATGGGGATGGAGGAGGAGCTCAGCTATGAGGAATGGAGGAGCTCAGCTATGAGAGGATGGAGGAGCTCAGCTATGAGGGATGGATGGAGCTCAGCTTTGAGGAATGGAGGAGCTCAGCTATGAGGAATGGAGGAGCTCAGCTATGAGGGATGGAGGAGCTCAGCTATGGGGGATGGAGGAGCTCAGCTATGAGGAATGGAGGAGCTCAGCTATGAGGGATGGAGGAGCTCAGCTATGAGGGATGGAGGAGCTCAGCTATGGGGGATGGAGGAGCTCAGCTATGAGGAATGGAGGAGCTCAGCTATGGGGATGGAGGAGCTCAGCTATGAGGGATGGAGGAGCTCAGCTATGAGGGATGGAGGAGCTCAGCTATGAGGGATGGAGGAGCTCAGCTATGGAGGATGGAGAAACTCAGCTATGGAGGATGGAGGAGCTCAGCTATGAGGGATGGAGGAGCTCAGCTATGGGGGATGGAGAACTCAGCTATGAGGGATGGAAAAAGCTCAGCTATGAGGGATGGAGGAAGCTCAGCTATGAGGGATGGAGGAGCTCAGCTATGAGGGATGGAGGAGCTCAGCTATGAGGGATGGAGGAGCTCAGCTATGAGGGATGGAGGAGCTCAGCTATGAGGGATGGAGGAGCTCAGCTATGGGGGATGGAGGAAGTCAGCTAAGAGGGATGGAGGAGCTCAGCTATTAGGGATGGAGGAGCTCAGCTATGAAGGATGGAGGAGCTCAGCTATGAGGGGGATGGAGAAACTCAGCTATGGAGGGATGGAGGAGCTCAGCTATGAGGGATGGAGAGAGAGCAGCTATGGGGATGGAGGAGCTCAGCTATGAGGGATGGAGGACTCAGCTATAGGGGGATGGAGAAACTCAGCTATGAGGGATGGAGGAGCTCAGCTATGAGGGATGGAGGAGTTCAGCTATGGGAATGAGGAACTCAGCTATGGGGATGGAGGAGCTCAGCTATGAGGGATGGAGGAGCTCAGCTATGAGGGATGGAGGAGCTCAGCTATGGGGGATGGAGGAGCTCAGCTATGAGGGATGGAGGAGCTCAGCTATGGGGGATGGAGGAGCTCAGATGCTCAGCTATGGGGGATGGAGGAGCTCAGCTATGGGGGATGGAGGAGTTCAGCTATGAGGGATGGAGGAGCTCAGCTATGTGGGGATTGAGAAGCTCAGCTATGAGGGATGGAGGACCTCAGCTATGGGGATGGAGAGCTCAGCTATGGGTGATGGTGGACCTCAGCTATGGGGATGGAGGATCTCAGCTATGAGGATCGATAACATACATTCTAGTTGTTGGGAGAAGAAGAGTTTACTATGTTTATAATTACAATGTACAAATATACCATGGGGGATGGAGAACTCAATCAATGTTGATTCTAAGGTCCCTGAAGAGGACTCACACATTGAGGTTAGAAGAAAGGAGTTCAACCTTAGGGGGAAAGGGTTCTCAGTTAGAACATTAAAAATGTAGAAATCCCTCCCCCAGGAAGTGGTACTACCTGAAAGTGTAGGACTCCTCCTCGAAGTCGAATATACAGGGAATAAAAATTGCACATGGGGAATGGAGGACCCGTATCTTTTTTTCAGCTTTGGGGATGGATCTACTACAGTATATGAAAAGAACGAGAAGGCCACAAATCTAGAATAATCCCAGTCAAAGATCACTTTTCGCAAGTGTTTTGGGGAGAAGGTTGCCATTCTGACCGACCAGGCTGTAAGTCTCACAAAATTGCAATTAATGTTGGATTGACCCGATGACCTGTTCAGTATTATCTCCAGCCATTGCCTCCATTCAGGGCCAAGGTGAAGTGGGAATTTGGGGCCCCTGAAATGCCCTGGAGGATCTTCCGAGTCTTGTGGCACTCTCACCCTTTCACATGGACCTCTTTGAGGAACCCCCCGTTTGCCTAGGAACAGCCTTTCCTGGATTTATCTTCTGAGTCTTGTGGTACTCTCACCCTTTCACATGGACTTCATCGAGGAACCCCCGTTTGCCCAGGAACAGCCTTTCCTGGATTTATCTTCCGAGTCTTGTGACACTCTCACCCTTTCACATGGACTTCATCGAGGAACCCCCGTTTGCCCAGGAAAAGCCTTTCCTGTATTTATCTTCCGAGTCTTGAGGCACTCTCACCCAAAGCATGGACCAGGAACAGCCTTTCCAAATTGGTTTCTCCTACTTTTTTCATTCAGAGACCTTCCAACACGTCTTTTAGCTCCCTAGTCTGATATAAACCATGAACTATTTTTTTTGCGCTCAGGAAT